AGACACGCAAACAGATATGGCAGTCAAGTCAACAAGAAAGAATGAACAACAAACAGCCGAGAGTGAAACACAGCCGCATGGCAATGAAACTGAGACTCGTAAGAGTAAAAGTATGGACACGAAACTGCAGATGTCAACACAAATAAAAACAACAACAACAAAAACGCCACAAGGAATGGAAGGTAAATTCATTGAATTAAGAGCGTATGACCTTGTAAAGTTTACGTAGTATGTACAGTGAGTGTCAGTGAAAATCGTACAGTAATATTTTGTTTTATTTAAATTATATTAATTTTTCATAAATATATACATAGTTCATACTACAACAAAATCCATAAAAGCCAAAATTTCTAACTCTGTAATAATACATCAAAATTACACAATTTTTAATCAGAATTTTTAGAATTTATTTGGGTATGCAGTTTTATAGGTCATTCAATTTTAATAATAATAATGTGCAAGTTTGAAGTAGCTACAAAGTACCGTTGGTTTTGGTATTTTTTTTTTGTCGAGGGTATTGCGCATTTTCTTTCACAGAAAAAAAAACAGATTTTGTTCATTCGTTACGGATTTTGTTGTCTTACGAACTATATTTTCATTAAAAATTAATCAAATTTAAATAAAACGAAATATTTTCAAAATTTGGTCCATATTAAATTTACTGTACGATTTTGACTCATACTCACTGAATGTACATAAGTACATATGTGCAAATCATTATCTGCAGATCACACCAGCCTACTGGAAAATTCCACACCGCCAACTAGTACATGCACAGCTGTGCTATCCTCTACGTTAAGTATAAACACAAAGCAACAACTTCTGAGAAAAGCAATTTCTACTTGTTGGCAAAAAACACTACAACTCGTCACAACAAACACTGGCAAGCCAGCCAATAATCCATCAGCCAAATACTTTAACTGGTCATATCGACTGTTGCGACGCAAACAACTTATATTCTTACTCATTTTTGTGATATTCATCTTCTATTTGGGTAGTTCGATACGCGATGGCGATAATACGGACGAAAGTGTACGCGTGCTGCACTACTCGCATGTGCCGGGCATGAAGGGTACGTATACGTCAAGGTGCATCATAAATATGTATTGCGTTTTGTATAATATATGTATGTACATACATACTAGATGAATATTATGCTAGACGCCATATTGTATGCANCATGTGTACAAATTCATAACACAAAAACTTGACTTTTCAACACTTTTGCATGTTAAAATAATATTTATATGTACATAAACAGACAGTCACATGCATACATATGTATACATATACATACACAATTTTGTTATAACATTTGTCACTAAAGACTAGTTTTCACTATGTCATATTTTGACGCCAAAATTGGGGACATATTTTGACACGTTTATCTATACCTTTACCGATAATATTATGGGCCAAAAACTGACAGATAGCCGAATTAGCAGCACATGTACACGACTAAAGTCTATCCTGATCGAAATCAATTGATAAACCGCTTTTTAATCCCATTTGACAATGTGTTTTCACTTATTTGACGACAAATGCCACTGAATTTGACATAGTGAAAACCAGCCTTTAGGGTTAATTTCTAAATGCAGTATTAAGTGCAGCTTTGATCAAAGCCCAAGCTTGTACAACGAGGGTTAAGTCGCGTGAATATACTGCGTGACCATCACTCGAGATTTAAAGCATCAAGCTAACAGAGCCAATTACACTGGATCACAAATTTTTATTATTTTATTTTTTTGCTCGCCAGTTGCCACTATCCCATTCCGAAAATCGAGTAATTTTTTTTTTTATTATGGATAAGTTTTTGGGATATTTACAATTTTTTCATTATTCAGTTACAAAAAAAAAAGTAGTTCCACATAATCATGTATGTAAATTTAAGAACCAATTGGACAATCTTATTAGCAAATGAAAGGTAATAGGGCTTTCGCACGAGGCGATTTTTCAGTCAACTTTTAGTTGAAAGCAAAAATCGCCTCGTCCGAACGGCCTTTCAACTAATCGCTTTCAACAAAGTTGGTCGCCAGCCAACTTTGAGCTCATTCAACTTTTTTTCCTTGCAATCCTGTGTTTGTTTCCATTCTGTATCAGTGTGGGGAAATGAAATTGTTCCTTCAGTACGAAATCTATACAAAAAATGTACTTTTCGGCTATAAATTGTATACACTTTTTAATTCGCTCATATATTTTCTTAGTACATTCCCTTCAAGATCAATGATTTTATGGTGTTCATGAGAAAATTTTATAGTTTATGTACATACGTTTACGTATTTTACACTTTTACAAATTGATTCCACGTGCACATGTACTGCATTTAACGCAAATATGTACATATGTACACATTTTCAGGTATACAACTTAACAAAAAGAATTTTTGGGTTCTTATTAATGGATAAAAGAGACATTTTCTTTGGATTAGCCCATTAAATTTTAATATAACTAAATTTTTTAAGATTTCTTTGATGAAGGTGTTGCTAATTTTCTCCATATAAAAAAATCGTCGAACACGCTTCGTATGGAAGAAAATGGCTGACATCCTCGACAAAAAAAAATTGCCAAGTTCAACGGTAAGTCCCAGCTACTTTAAACTTGCACTTTATTATACTAAAATTGAATGGGCTAAAAACTAAAGAATATTAATAAAGCTCGAAATTTTTACGTATGTATGTTGGTTTTTGGATGTTTCGCAAAGATTTAATCTTGGGTTTATACAGTTTTTCTTAAAGAATACATTATATTTTATAAACAGATAATTAAAATTAAATAATAAAATAAATAGTAAAATCTTGTCAATATGTGAGTGCCGTAAAGGTATTATATTTAAGAAAATCTCTTCTTATAACTAACGAAGACTTTGTTTCTATATGAAGCTGACTTTGACATTTTGTTTTAATAAAACTTAGTATCGAAAAGTTTCTTTAAAAATTTGCCTAGGCTATGTTATACTGGTTCGTTCAAGCCATTTTTCAAAACTTACAAAGGTNTTCGTACAAGCCATTTTTCAAAGCTGACAAAGGTAAATACGAACAGGCGAACAAAAGAGAATACAAAAAATTTAATGCTGTGAATTTTCAGAGATATATATTTTTAGTATTCATTACAAAATTGTACTAAAAAGTAGTAGGAAAGTATATTGTAAATGAAATTGTATCAAACAATTACAATTGTACCAAAAATGCCAACACTGTTCTGTATACATACTTTTTTTCTTTTTTACCTTTTTACTCTTATTTTATCTTTCAGCTTCGCTAAAAGCACTTTTCTACCAACGCTTGGCTTATCAAATTTACGCCAATTGATAAAATTTTGCGATTTAAATTCATTTTCAATAATGTAAATAACGATTCGTGTTGAATCGAAAATCGGCTCGTCTGAATAGGGATGGCAACTTTTTTACTTTCAACTTCTCATTCAACTTCGTATTCAACTTTTGTTGCCTGTAAAATCGCCTCGTGCGAATGCCCTATAAAAAATTTCTGATTTTTGTTTTTTTCTTTTTTCCTTTTAGATTTGTCCAATTTTTTCTCTGGCATTAAAGCTTGCTCTTTAACAACAAATGCAAGCTATTAACGAAGAAATCGAAGAATAAATAAATAAGTTAGGAATGGTCAAATGAAAATGCGCAATGATTTTTTTGTATGCAATATGAACAGGAAACAGAGTTGAGCGATAAGGATTACATGTGTAATTGATTACAATCATTTTAAAAATGCAATTTTCCTAATTACAATTTTTGAGTAATCATAAATGAAGTAATTCTAGAAATGCGCAAAAGATAAATATTAGTAAGTTAATAATATACGAAAAATTTAAATAGAAATGTAATTCCTCTTTTCTTCAACTGAACAATAAAGAATTTGTTACCCAGTAGATAATTTCAGGAGCTTTCCTTTTCAAAACGCTTTCCTGAGAGTCGAGGGGCCTTCCCCTTCCCCAGGTGGGACTTTTAGGGTTTTACTGGAAATGTACAGGATCTTTTGAGTGGTTTGGGACTTTTTGAGATTTTTCGTGACCGTTTAGGATTTTTTCGGGATTTTCAAATAAATTTTTTTTTAATCTTTTCGGGACCGTTCAGGATATTTGCGGGTCTTTTTTTTTTACTTTTGTTTTACTTTTCGAGATCATTGGATTTTTTTTTGGTCGTTATTTTTATTTTTTCTCTTCGATTTCTAGAACTTTGCTGGTATCACGAAAAGTATCCTAAGGTTTCTTTAGAATCACCAAGATGGCTCTTAGATTGCATCATATTGGTTTTACTAACCCAATTTAATTTTGATGCAGAAAACCTTTTAGAGCAACTATGAGCCTCTTTTAATCAAAAGTAAATTTAGAAAAAAAAGTAGTAATACTAATTTTTCAAGAAGTTGAGAAATTGTACCCCACTCTAGGCAAGTGACGGGATACTGTTAACTGCTCTTCGTTTTAGATATTTTGGCATTGCTGCTGCAGTACTGCATTTACGAACTAACCCAATGTATTTTCTTTCTAATTGTATTTTAGCTTTTGTTTAATCCAACTTACAAACATACTTACTACATATGTACATATGTATGTGTATTACCTATACAACTTTATTTTGATCATTTGTCCAAATGTCTATTGCTGCACATTACAAATTGTTATGTTTTATTTTTCGTTCTTTTAATTTGCATGCTTTTGACGCAACAAAATTCAAATCAACCACTTCTGGAATATGAAATTACATAAAAAAAAATTCACCAAATTGCTTGTACCGATTTGTTGTTGTTATTTTGCTTGCTGTTTTGTCTTGTGCTGTCTAATGTGCAACATCTGCTTGCGCGCTGACCTCAAAATCAGTAGACAAAAAAGAGCTGCTGTCACAAGCTATTGGTAGTGTGAGACCATTAGTGACACCACCAGCCGACAATGTGGCACTTTTAAACGATACAACAACCACAGAGTCACGCACCGATTCTAACTCTAAAAATCCATTAACTAATAATACATATGCAATCGTACAACCACGCACAGGTTTTCTTGTTTGGAGCGAATCCTGTCGAATACCAGTTGTAGATGTATATGCGCCGGATATAATGCAACATTTCAAGCGTGAAAAATATAAGCCATGCTCGAAAAAGAAACCACTAACTACGGTCACTTTCAATACGACTTCAAAGGAGTATTTGCTGCAAATCGAGAAGAGCGAAATAAAGTCATTTGGCAAATCAGGCCGCATACGTTGCTGCTATCAGCCGATAATACGCAATGGCACAGGCGCAAAGGCGGATGAAGACTATAAGTGAGTATATATGTACATGTGTGCATACGAGAAAATTATATATCATTTAATACATACATACATACTTTTAGATTAGACTGCATCTTCAAAAAAAAAATTGCGGCTTTTCCATCGGGATTACAAAATTGATTTTATTTGAAGACGTCCACGCAAAATATTTCGGAAAAATATTACGATTTACGTGAGCTGGACCGCTTCGAAAATACTTCCAAAAATGGAGTTTTTTATGAATAGAAAGATAGTTTCTTAAAGAACTTTTTGAGAAAAAAAATTGCTTTAGATGACAAACCAGTTTAAGCCTAAAAAATCTGCATAAAAATATTTTAAAAAATTTTCAACGGAAACGTAATAATGAGATTTTTGATGCTTGAAGAAATACAAAGTGTGAGAAAATACATTTCTAACGATACCTCATAAGCCTAAATCGGAATTCTTTTGGTCTAGTTTCTTTTAGTTGAAGTTTTTCTTATACCAATCTTTGAAAAAAGTTAAAAAAACAGCATCCAAAATCTCATTATTACGATTCGGTCGAAAATTATTTTAATATTTTTATGCAGATTTTTGTAAGCTTAAACTGCTTTGTCAACTGAGAGGATTTTTTTCAAAAATATCTTTAACTATTTTAATTCATAAAAAACTCTATTTTTGGAGGTATATTCAAATCAGGTAAATCTCTAAATTTTTCCGAAATATTTTAGTGCAAGTCTTAAAATATAATAGATTCTTTAATTCCAATAGAAACAGATTTTTTTTTTTTTTTTTTTTATGGGGAGTGATGCAGTCTAATATATATATATATGTACATTAAGCCGTATCACGACATATGTATGAAAGAAGAAAAAGTTTAGCGTGTGTGCGTTTTATTTAAACACTTATGTCGAGAGACAATTCATTTATAGTCCTGAGCGAGGCCTTTTCGGTAACATAAAAAACACGCAATTTAACGATTTCATAAAAAAAAAATTTACACCCAACGCCTAAACGTTCAAATTTGCGGATTACATTTATTTATAACAGCTACATTTGGGC